TATTTGTGCATACAGAACTGGGGTACAGGCCAGAGGCTCAGGGGTGGTGAGAGGCTTCACCAGAGACAGAGTGGAGAACAAAACAGGAAGATTGACGAAGTACAGTGCTGAGGGGAGCAGCGGGCGGGTCAGGAGAGGTCTGCAGGGCAGGCAGGAATCGAACTCATGCAGAAGTGGCTTCAGATTCTCAGTACTGTGCTTTAACCCGCTGTGCCACCAGGGAGGGCCCACATTCACTCTTTTTTATTCTTATGAGTACCTTCTACATTGAGATCATCTCACATAATCCTGAAAACAACACTACCTCTATTGCAGGAGAGGAAACAGAAGTCCAAGAGGTTGAGGAATTCATACAGGAGCAAACAGTTAGTTGGTCATAGAGAACTGAGTTCATTCTACTTGCTACCTTCTCCCACTGCTGCTTTTCGTACTGAGCAAAATGCTTCCCCAGCTGCTAGGAAAAGCCAGCAGGAGGGACTCAGGATCTGGGAAAGGAGGAAGCAGTGTTTAGAAGGGTGTTGGAATGAGGTGCCATCTCCCCTTTCCCATGGTGGTGGTGGGGAGTGGTGGGGACCTCCAGCACTGACAGTGTGCTAGAATTTTACCTTATCTTAAGGGACCCAGAAAACCTCTCCTGCTTGCTTTCCAGTTACTTCCACATCCCGCCTCACCCTTTCCCCTCCAGAGAGCCTGATGCCAAGAGGGCACTCAAAAGACACTTGGGATATTATTGCCTCTGCTTGAATGGTGGTCTAAGGGATGCCAGCCCTCCAATAGTGAGGTTTCTGACTTGGAAAATCGTCCTCAGAGTCACCAGGCATTGATGGCTGGTATATATATGGTCCTCTTGTTCAGGAGTTTCCTCTTGCCTTTCCCCTCAGCACCAAATCAACCTCAGTGAAGGGAGGTTCCTCATTTCCATCACCACCCCGCAGACAGCTTGGGGTAGAAGCTCCCCAGTGTAGGATTTCCTGCAAAGCCCTTCCCTTTTCTCCTGGCCCTTTGAGAGGACTTAGTATGTACCACGTCCTATGTTGGCATGTTCTTGCCAAACCCAGTGAAGCAGATTTTGTTGTCTCATATTCTACGTAAGAAAAATCGGAGACTTCAACGAGGTAAAGTGAGTGGCTCAGGGTCAAGCCTCCCTGCTTTCTCTCTGGCAGGCCAGAATTTACAATTTCCGCTTGTGTGGACAAAAGGCCCGCCCCAGAGTGCCGAGTTCAATCCTCCAACCGCTAGCATTTAGGGAGCCTAGTCCCACAGCGTGCCCCTCCCCCTTGTTTCCGAGGTCAACTCTCCTTCGGCGGGAAACAGGGTCCAACATCTGGAGGTGCCCTAACCCGTCACCCCTAATCCCGAGGCCCGTGCGCTAGCAACCTACCCCCCCCACCCCCCGCGAGGCAGGCGGGTTTGGAGGCGCAGTGTGGTCCGTCCCACCTGGTCACCCCGGCTATTTGCATAACGGGGACGACTCGCCACCCTTCGCCGCGATCTTCTCCCCTCCGCTCCTCTCCTGCATCCGCCACCCCCTGCCCCAATTCTCCCCCTTCCCGGAACCCCACGTGGGGCTTCCAGCCCACCGGCTCCCCTGCTCCTCCGAGCACGGAGTCGGAAGGTACCTGGGGGAGGGGAGTCCTGCCTGGGGCACTGCCCAGCGCTAACAAAGGGAGCCGGCTGCTGGCCGGCTGGGGCGCGCCGCGGGCGAAGCAGCCGCAGCCTCCTCCGCCACAACGCAAAGAGTGAGTAGGGGTGCAGTGGACCGTGGCTTGGCGGGGCACCCCGGAAGGAGTGATGTGAAGGGGAGCGGGAGGGGAGCAGAACAGCCGGGCCCGCGGCGCGTTCATGGCGCAGGGACTCGGTATCGAGCGCCGCTTCAGCAGGCTTCAGCTAAGGGGGCCTGCCACTTACTGCCTGGAGTGTCTGAATTCACTCGGGCCGGAGACCCGCCCTGGCTTCTCCGGGTTCCACGACCCTAGGGACCCACAACAAACCCACGTGTGCGCGCCCCCAGGAACCCCGCTTTCTCCGCAACACAGTTCTTCTTGGGGTGGGGGTGAGGGGGGAGAGGTGAGCACCTTGCAGAGTTTGGATTTCTTCAGATCCCATCTGCTGAATTTACCGACCAGGAAACTGAGGCCCCAGGCCGGGGTAGGGGCGCAGGCACCACAACAAACGCACGTGCGCCCTGCCCTGGGAGCTGCGCGCACCTGGAGCCGGTAGGAGCCGCCCTGCGGTACCCGGCCTTTGTCTAAGCCGCGGGGGAGGGATCCACGCTGGGGGTGTCACTTGCTGAAGTAGGACGGCAGAGACCTTTGCAAGGTGCCACTTGGACATCAAGCCGAACTGCTGTATTTGAAAAGCTAACAGCGAAACAAGAAAGCTGCTACTAAAAAGATTTACCCAGGTTGAGAGTCCTCGGCGCCGCGGTGCGTTGCTTGGTGTGACTGGAACAATCCGTCACTTCCCCTCGTGGAGGTTTCTTAAGAGATGGGGGTTGAATTAAGAGTCCTAGGCCTCTCTTCCAAAAGATACGGTGCTTAACGCACCTTTGTCTCTGCACTCCAGCCACTGCCTCTGTGGGGAGGTCGCGAGCGCCTCCCGGGCTTGCAGAGAGAACAGTTGAAATGAAACTGCTAGCTTCTCAGTCTGGGGTTTCTTTTGCGTTTTTTGCTTTGTAGATTCAAGCGCTCAACCAGTCTGTGTGTCTTTGGTCCCTTTTGGCTTGTTCGGTATTTTCACAAGTAAGGCCAGCTGAGCTCTCTTCTTGTTCTAGGCAAGGGCACTATTTTTTCACTTCTGTTAGAGTTAATATGAGAGGCATTCCGAGGTCCGGAAAGAGAGGGCTGCTGTTTGTTTTGCTTTTTCTCTGTTTACGTGTGTTCACCCCAGCTTTTCAGCTAATCAGACCTGTTCAGAATTGGACTCCCAGGGAGTGGTGTTGGCACTGGGGTAAACTCTAAGGTTGAGGGAGTGGGAGGTGTGCGCAGGCACCCAGGCGCTGCTGCCCGTGTGTTGTTGGGTGGCCGGGCTGCCGTTCTCCTTGACTGGTACTGTTTGAGATTAACCTGTCCCTGGACCCCACTGGACCCCACTGTTACTGAGCCTAGAGAGCATCCAGCAAACCCTCTTACTTCACAAGCCACAAATGGAGGCCTGGAGAATTCAGCCACTTGTTCAAGTTTAAACCAAGTGAAATCAGCAAGGGAGAGACAACTGAATTTGGGTATCCCCAAACTCAGAGTGCCCTCCCCTGCTAGCAACTAATGGTAAATCTTGGATTCCTTAACAGGGGCCCTAGGCAGAATCGAGTTAAACAAAGAGTAATTCTGATTGCACCTTTTCATTCTCCCTACTTATTTTTCTCTCCTGGCTGCCACCTTCCCCTCAAGTTGGAGTAGGGCCAGCTTTGGAGACTTAGATGTTTTCCCTCTCTTCCTTGTGCCAGGAGGGCTTTTGTTTGGGCATAAGCATGGACTGTTGACATCAGCTCCACTGGGAAGAAAGTGTCTCATAGCAGGCTATTCTTGAGCCTCTTAGGGGAGAACAATGCATTGTTTTCAATGATTTTATTTAATTAAAAAAAATTTATGAGAGGATCACAGAAGTAGCTACTTATTTTTGTATGTGGCAGAGGAAAAACTGGAAAAAAACCAAACCAAAACAAAACAACCAACCACGTGGAGTCAATGTTTCCTCAGAGATGAAGTGCTGTTTTGCCTGGCTCTGTTATTTTACAGCTACACTTGTTTCTTTTCTTAGGGTTTCCAGGGTGTTTCATTTTCTTAGTAATTCCACTTGGCACTAGAGTATAGTTTTTGCATCAGGATGCTTACCTTGTAAGAAACTTCAGTAATCATCTGGACAGACCTGTTTACTTTCCCGTTGGGAGAACTAAGGCCAGAGAGGAGAAATGAGTTATCTAAGGAGGTTCAGCTAGATGTCCGCTTTTAATGGCTCTTTTTGCGTAAAAGGGAAACTGTTGCATCAAATGGGTTGCTGTTGGTTCTCCAGAGAAAAGTCAAAGTTATGATGGTTGTTATAACAATACCCTGTAAGTCAGAGGATGAATTCCTTAAGGATTTAAATAGGTTTCAGTTAGTAAGTAAAACCATGGATCCCAATGGTAGATACCGTGAGGAAGGGAACACTGATCACTGGGGATCTTTAGTGTTTACCAGATGGTAGCCCCTGTCTCATGCTTCCCCTGTGAGGATCTTGATGAGTGAATGTTCAGTGAGAACTGAATTTTGGAGACATGCATTTTTTTTGCTGGTGTTGTATGTGTGCTGATGGCTGATTATAATGGATGTATTTCTTATTGGTGTATGTGTAACAGTAACACAGTGAAGCAGTGCCTTCACCACATTCAAATATTAAAGTGGTTTTCTGAGTAAATACTAGAAGGGTGGGGCTTACATTCAGAATAAATTTGGTGAGTCAAATTTTATTTATTGTTCTTCTTAGAAAAACAAAACATACCCACTGAGGACAATATGAGAAAAAAAAAAGTACAAAGAATCACAAAAATTCCCTATTCAGAAGTTACCAGTGTTAACACCAGGCAGTTTTCCTTCTGTGTTTAAAAAAAAATGAATTATTTTTTCAAGTGTTTGAGCACATAATGTATGCAGTTGCTATTCTTGCTTAATATTGTCAAATATACAAGGCATCGTTCATATCCACATGCAAGCTGTACTTTGTCATTTATGACCTACATTAGCTGCTTTGTATCTTCAAGGTCACATGTCCCATGGGATCTGATAATTTTAATGATCATTTCATTGAAGGTCTGTAGAGGAATGTACCTCCAACTTCCTCCCTCTTTCCTCCTCCTGCCTCAATCATGCAAAATTCAATACTTTCATTTTATCACACACACACACACACACACACACACACATTTTAGAAGTCTAAATCTCAAGTGGTCGAGAAAGTGTTCCCCACCTGTATGTGACCTTGGGTTCTGGCCTTCCCTCATGACTACCACACTTCAATAGCCTGGTTTTCAGTTTCCATATGTGTTAAATTGGCAACTCTGAGGTCATTTATTAATTCAGCACTCAAGTATATGGATGCCCACTCTATAGCAAAGATAGGTATAAGCAGATCTCAGCTTGTAAGAAGTCCACCACACAGTGCAGGAGGCAGAGGTGAGCAGAGACTCGTGCAGGATGCTGTGGGATCACAGGAGGACTCCTCCACCTAGGACTAGAGCCAGGAAGCCTTCCTGGATGAGGGCCACTGTCGGATGGCCAGACCTCTTTTCATTTTTCCGTATTGCAGTTGACATTGTGATTAACATTTGTGAATAAATCTCCGTCATTATTCCTGATCATTTCCATGGAGCAGAATCCTAAAGTTGGAATTACTGGGACACACTTTAAAAGGTATGATCATTTAAAAACCTTCATAGACTTAGTCCCAATTACAAAGAAGCCTAAAAATGTGTAAGTATTACCTGTTGTAGAAATAGCAGAATTCAGAGCACAGGTTAGAAGTAAGGGCACAACTTGTACCCAGATGTGCCAGGGAGCACGGACGCCATGCACTCATTCTGGAGATGTGCGCCTAGCTCACAGATGCATCCCAGTCTCTTTCCCAGCTCCCGTCACTAGACCCTTCCATCCGATGTATGGATGGGGGCAAAGAATTGACCCTGCCTGTGTTCCCCTTTGGGAAACCATGGGTTCTCCTTTCCCCTCTAACTTCCATGGGGCTTGGTTTCTTCACTTGCTCTTGTACTCAAGTAGGAATTTTTGACTTAAATAAAAGGGAAAAGTTCATCCAATTTAATATTTAAATTGGAGCTCTCGCTTTACTCCGTGGGACTCCTGCTAGGCAGGGCCCGAACTGTGGCTGGTGGTGTCTGGCTGCCACATGATGACCCTGGGCCTCCCTACTTTGGAACTCAGCTCCCAACAAGTGAGGCCCTATCCAGCTCTAATACCAGAGGGCAAAGAGATATATAAGGTGAGAGGACATCTTCAGACAAATAATAAATGAAATCTGTTTTCTTTTAGGACATTCAAATAGGATTCAAAATTAACACCCTTCTTTCCCCCGCTACCCATCACACTTCTCTCCAAAGTGACCACTGTTGCAGTTTGTTTGGGTCCTTCCAGGCCCATATATACTGGAAAAGGATAAGTGTACACTTATCCTTTTTTTAATAGCTGCATCCCATGCCATATTATGGATGTTTATATAGCTAGTTTTCTCTTGACAGACCAATCCATAAACATAGATTTCTAAGTGCATTTAGGCCTTGGTCATAAGAAACAAGGGTTGTAGATATCAGTGGTTAAATAAGTCAGCCATCAAACTCTGGAAAGGGCGAGGGAATGGGTGTAGGGACATTGAGGGCCAGCTGGGTTAAAAGGTCTGGAAAGATATACTGAGAAGCTGCATGCTTGGACAGAAGGTTATTTTTGGAGCTGGCCTGTCTAGTTGGGTGCCCTTGACCTCAAGTGCAAAAATGAGTTGCGTCATCACCTTCTCCTCCTGGCACTTCCAAGTTTGTTTCTGATCCTGGGGTCAGTAAGGATGTAGTGGGAGCACTGGAACTTGAATGATAGGGAGGGAGGAGAGATAAATGCATGAGAGGAGTGTTAGAACGCAGGCCCTACTTTATTCTGCCTGCTTTTCAGGCCCATCTGGAGTGTTACATTTCCCTGGGTCTGATACAGATTATGATAAAATGAAGCACGCTCAGAATGGGCTACTTGGAAGACAGACGTTT